TTGTTTGTTTATAATAAGTAACAGCTGCTGTTGTGGATCACTTTTGTTTGTTGTGGTGAGGAATTAGACGATTTTTTCAGGACAGAATTAATTAAAACAAATAAACAGGTTATAGCAAACACATGGGTATTGTTTAGTGAAGGAATAAAGTAAACTTACTTGTGCTATATTTGCATTCCTAAGTTGTATTGAAGAGATCTTTGCTTTCTTTGTGATCCTGTCTTAACCTTTATAAAATGGACATTTAATGGAGAAAGAATAAACAGTCATAAAGAGTGCTCTTCAAAAACCTTTCAGGTAACTAAACACAAATTACTGGTGAGTGGTAAGTGGTTATGGTAAGTATTTTGAGCCTGGGGGGAGGGGGTGGTGCTTCCAAATATGGGTAGACAGGTATAAGCCTCCTGACAGGGTATGGTTTTTAAGGGTGAGGATCCTTAAACTGGGTATCATTTTTGATCACCTGGTTAGCTAGGTTGTGAGTTCAAACCCTGGCAAGACCAGAGAAATTACCACTTTTGTAATGACATCTGCAAACGGTTAGACTTTCTAGTCTTCTCGGGTAAGGAAGAAAAACTGTAGGACCCGTCTCACAGCACTTTCACTAATCTGGTTCTTGTGGGACGTAAAAAAACCCACAGCACAAAAAAATTGAGCTTGGAGTGCTGCCATAGTATGAGAAATAGTATCTTAACATTTGTTTTCCCTTGTATGGGTTGTCATTTTTCGAGTTTGGTCTTCAAATAGGTTAATGTCAGGGTTTAGGACCCTGGACGACACACACCTATCCGAAACTTATGGGAGTACCACTCACCTCTCACGCCCGTGGTGTTATGAGTCACGACCAAAGCCCGGACCATAGGCACATGATTTTGTCAAGCGAAGTGCATTTAGTTGGACAATATGCATTCGTTTGGCCTTTTCCTTTGCTAGTTATATGTAATTTTAATTCTCTTACCTTAACCTCGCACGTACGCCCAGGTAGGTAGTTGTCTCTCTGGAACTATTAAAGCTGAACATGAACACATGCTGACTGGAAAACAAATTTTGAGATTGCTGCGTCGTTCCTCCACGCGCCTGAAACTTTTGAAGTTTCATCCTCTTTCGCGGTCCTAAATGCACCTCTTTCAATTGTATGTTCCCCTTTTAACGGGTGGACTTGGGTCCGGAATAAAGTTCTTTAAAAGTCTGAAACTTTTGCCAATCTTCGTTCAGCGATCCGCCATGTTGACCGCGAGTTATAGGAGCCTGGGAGATTGTGGGAAAGCATTATGATAGTAGCCCCCAGACTTCCCGGTCAGAGCTGGCCACGCCCGGCACAACAACGACGTGTCCACGGATAATTTCACATTGCGAAAATCGGTTACAAACAAAAACTTGCTTGCCTGAGGCTAAAAAAGAGTCATTTACACAAGAGTAAAATGGCTAGTGTATGCACAACGTAACGGAACGAACATTTTAAGTCCAGCTTTTAATAATTGCCATTACTATCGAAAAACTTTATAAATTATCGTTTTTTGTTACCGTATGTTGCCCAGTATCCGGACACTTCAGTTTAACATTGCAATAACCTTCCTTTGTTGATCGCAAGAGCTCTAAAATTTGGCCCAGAGAGGCTCTATTTAGTCCCTAATATGACGAAAGACAGTTTAACTTTTTTTTTGGCCTTTGTTTCCGTCGCAAAAATATTATTTTTGCAGAACTCCTATGTTGCCCGGTATCCGGACAGATGGCCCAGTATCCGGACACAACAATAACAACGTAATTTTACATAAATTTCGACAGGCAAGTACTTGCACTTGCAAAGTTGTCTGGCAATCGATGACTGGGGTATGGTGGGGAACGCGAGCGGTTGTTAAATGGTATTATTCTTAGGTACTTCCTTGTCTAGGAACTTTTTCACTGATTTAAGCCGAGGCATCGTGGACATGCCGAAGCCGCGGTTTGCAAGCTCAAATAGCCAATCTGCAAAGGACTTATTTCTTCATTTTTTATTTTTAAAAAAAGCTTGGGGAAGGGACCTCAATCTCACGGTTAAAGGCCACTCTCCTATTTAGTCTGACCTGCAGTGTTGATTTCTTCATGTTAAGTCCCCACAATAAGTTTGCTTTTGTAGCACTAACTCCTCCTTTCACATCTCTCAATCCCTTTGTGACATTTTTCAGACCGCTGCAACCCCATTCTAGCAGTCACAACTGGGGAAAGTATGAGAATTCCTGGTTCAACTCCGACGCTTTCGGTTATATATAGAAAATGCAGTCACGCGAAACAAGCCGTGCACACGAAATCAAGTCATCAAGTCGCCTCTGAATGAGTGAAGCAAATTTCCATAAGGAGTTGAGTAGAATTACACTTTACGACTATATCATATATCCTAAGCTTTAATTATAGTTATAGATATGAAATAAATCTTATCCGGATAACGTACACAGCTAATTCATCGATTCTGTACAGCAAAGAAAAAAACTGGCGGGATAATGGGCACCTGACATCAATATTTAGTAAATGTTTCTGGCTTCCGTTATTCCAAACAAAACGAATTTCAAGAAGAATTAATAAACTTTCTGAGAACCTGACTTAAATATAAAACAGTTTCTTGAAAATATAACATATTACCTACCCTTTTCTGAGCAGCACTAATTTTACTGCGCAGTGAACAGCGTAAATATTAGCCATGAAAAGTTTACTCACGCGCAACGTTTACCAACATGTACAGAACTACACTCTTCACTCTTCTATAATTATTCAACAACTTCTCGCAACCTGCAACTACCTAATTTGCCGCAGGACAGGTTGATTCGTTTTACAGCAATGTTGCAAGACAGTTCTTCATTTATTCTTATTTAAAAGACAGTGTATTTACACCAGTTAAAAGGAATGCAAAGTTTTAAACTGACCACCAGTAACATCTACAGCAACTAAACCATCAACGTGTGTTAACTAGGTATCACTTGTCAATTTAAGGTAAAATGAAAGCGTACCTTTTCTGGCAAAAATAGTATAGAAGTGTACGGGGCTGCACCTCGGGGCGGAGCTTCCCCGTATAAAACTTTGTTGAGTACCCCCGGGTTACGGGTCTAAATCTCCTCTATAAAAAGTGCGATGCACGCCTAGTAGGCCAGTTTCTAATTATTAAAATTCATACTAAAGAGCCTATAAAAATCCCGTTGAGTTTAATGGATAATCAATCATTTTTTTATTGCTGAAAACAATCAATTACAGGTAAAAAAGAAAAGGACAAAGATCTACTCTGCGGATCTCATCATCTATTTACTTATTCATTTGTTTATTTTTAATTAAAAGGGTACGAAACGAAACAAAGACGGAAATCGAGTACAGACTAGCTCATAAATTACTAAGAATTAATTTCAATTTTTCAATTAACAACAGTTCACGGCGCTCTGAAGGCTAAGTTCAATATAAAATAATCGTCGGCGGTCTCTCTTTCAATATGCCGTGCTTTGTTCGATGATAAATCTGAATCTTCGAGTTAAATACTCCGGTCAGCAAGAGATGCGGGAAAGGAAGTTGATTGTTTTGCTCAGTCAACATTTTGCAGCAAGAAATTCCCTCAGCACTTTGAACTGTGAGAATTCCTGAATCAAGAGATGTGATGTAAAATGCGCTTTAGAAGGAGACTGGGTCGAGTTAACCTTCGCAAAGCCTTCTGGGACACTTATTAGGGACTTGGGGAAAAACGTGGCCAATAGAGAGGAGAAGTCGTTACGTCATGTTCGCATGGTAGCAAAATTTCTGGATGACAACAAGCGAAATTTTCTGGGGCTGAATCCGAAAGGACCGTATTAAAGTTTAGAAAAAGAAAAAGAAAATTTTTGTGTTGTGTTTACCTACTCCATAACGCAAGCGCGTGAAATTAGGAAGTTTCACGTCGCAGTCTTGCAACGACGGCCAAGAAATGTAACGTGTAAAGTTGTTGTTTCGATAATATAAACTTATTGCTTTTTAACTGTTCTTGTTGCCGTCGCCGTCGTCGTTGCTTAAACTCCCTATTGTTGTGATCCAGAAATTTTGCTACCATGGTAACGTGACGTCACACTTCTCTCTATAGAAAATTTAAGCTTCACGTATACGGCAAACGTCAGATTCAAGCTGAGAACTTCTCAAAATAGCAAATGAGCAGATAAAAAGAGCTCAAAACAATTCTTATGGATAAAAAATTGCGTGAAACTACTAATTTATGTGCAGAAATAATGAACAGTAAAGGACAGGTAAAGGGGAAACTTGGTCACGTGGTACAAATTCGCGTTTGCCGTCTGACGTAAACGTGATGCTTAACCTCTCTGATAACTGACCGGCGCTTTCCCAGTAACGATCTAATTGCGGGGCACAGTTCGGCTCCTGTTCCCTCCTCATTCATAAGTGGCGAATAGGGTAGCTTGAAGTAATATATATATGAGGACAACATATATTTCTTAAAAAACGTAACAAAACAATAAAATCACTTGTCCAAAAACAATCACGATCTTTTACGCCTTAGCTTTCTTTCCCTTCCGCACCAAACTTGCTAATGAGGCATTTTCATCATCGCCATCGTCGTCTTCTTGTTGTTTATCTTTGTCTCCCACTGTCTTCTTTGTATCTTTCTTCAGTTTCTCCTCTTTATCTGTTTTCGTTACATCTTTTTCACGTTTATCCCTCGCTGCCTTTGGTGCATCTTCTGGCTTCTCATTGTCTACTTTTGCTGTGTTCGCTCCTTGCTCTCTTTTTACATTGTCTGCTTTCTTGACATTTCTTTCCTTCTCCTTTTCTGCCTTTGTTGTTACATCTTGTGGTTTCTCTTTGTCCCTGTCTGCTCCCTTAAGATTTTCACGTCCTTCTTTCTCTTTTTCTACTTTCTTAACATCCTCCTTCCCTTTCTCCTTATTAGCTTTTTTAGCATTTTCTTTTGTTTTTTGTGTCCTTGCTGCGTTTTCTCGTTTCTCCTCGATTACTTTCTCAACATGTTTTTCTTCCTGCTCATCTGCTTTGTTTGAATCTGCTTTCCCCTTCTCATTTCCTGCCTGTTTCGCGTCCTGTTGTTTCTCTTTTTCTTCCTTTGTCATATCACATGCTTTCTCTTCCTTCTTATCTGCTCTGTTTCCTTTTCCTTGTCTCTCTTCCTCTTTATCTCCTCTCTTCACATCTCCTTGTTGTTGTTTCTCTACCCTTGTTACCTCTTCTCGTTCTACGTCTGCTTTCTTTACATTTCCGTCGCCTTTCCCCTTGTCTTTAATTTCCTTCTTTACATCTTTGCCTAGTTTCAACTTTTCCTCCTCTACTTTCGTTACATCTTGTTTTTTTGGCTCTTTACTTGATCTTTCTACATCTTCTGTTTCTCTCCAGTCTACTTTCTTTTTACCTCCGTCTACCTTCTTGGATTGGTCTGCTTTCGGCAATTCTTCCTTTCCTTTTTCTTTCTCTTTAATGGCTTTATTTACATTTGTTTGCATGTCTTTTTCTAACGCTTTGTTCTGATCGTCAACTCCTTTCTCTTTCTTTTTCTTGTCTTTTTTTACACTTTTGTCTCCTTCGTCTTTTCCTTCATCCCCTTTCCTTTCATCCTTTTCACTGTTTTTCTGCTTTGTTTCTTTGTCATATTTTTCTGTTTTAGCGTCAGTTGTACTCATCTCTTCTACATCTACATCTTCGTCGCTTTCCTCTTCCTAATTAATAAAATCAACATGCCAAAGCGTAAAGACTTTCTGTATAGTAGTGGTGGTAGTTAAATGGTAACGCTAATGGGCTTTAACCAATAAACAGCACCACAACAAAGAACTTCTCAGTAATTTTTTAGCTAAGGGCTTAGAGGCAGCAGTTTGATATCGTACCCCCGGAGGGGTATTCCTGGGAATTCGTGGTGAGGGTGTGCCGCCCGGTTCTCCAAATCCTGACCCAATTTCACACCCCAAAACTGACATTTTCCACACCCGTTTTCAGACCTGGCGTAGGCAGAAATTATGTTATCATTAAAGCCAACTCAGTCACTGTAAGGACCTCCACTTGGTGTTCTCATAAGTGAGAGTCCGAAATAGCGGGAGTTTATTTCAGTCAAACGACTGAAATTTATTTTTGCCTGGGATTTAGCTGCTGTGGGTATTATCGTAGTGTCCGTTATATCGAAGTGTCCGCAAGGCGAGAGTTGACTATACGTTGATTAGAGCGCCAAGAAAAAGATTTCTTAAAATCCAACTCGACTTCGCATGTTACTTTTTTTTTCTTATTCGTTTGGAATTGAAACGACATATACGTTCACGTGATTCCCATGAAAACCATACCCGAATTCAGACCAAAATAAGCAAAGTCTATAACCGTTTTCCGACCAAAACGGCGTAAAACCCCAACGCTTTGGAGCGGCACATACCTATAAGGCAAATATTAGGGAGTACCCTCCCCCCACGGTTATCGTACGACATATTCCTCCTCGTGTTATCCAAAGTTCTCAATCACTTACCGATTCGTCACATTCTGTGCAGAACCACAGGTACCCTCGCGTCTTGGGGTTGGCCTACAAAATAAAAATAAAAAAGAACTTTGTTTACCTTTAAGTTTATGTACTAAGCTGGAGTTTTAGACCAAGGTCCCTTTGGGCTATTCTGGACGAACGGCATTACATTTTGAAAACAGATAAGTCTTAACGAAAAGAAGCTCTTTCCTTCCTACAAGACAGTAGAGAAAAAATAACGATAACTCCAAATTTTGTTTTGCAAAACACTATCATGTGATAGGACAGCTGACTGGGTTTCATTTAAATGGTCAAACTAAAGGATTTAATTCACAGGTTCAAAAGTTAGAAGCACACTTCAACTTTGTACCAACAATTTTGTACGAGGAACGTAGTATGACGGTCACGACAAAGTAAAGGTTGCAGCTTTATAGTAACGTGTTACTCCGGGAGCTATTAATGAACAGACGCACGGCAACATGCAGCCTAGAAGATTTCTTCCAGTTGCGGCCATTTCAAGTCGCCAAGAATACTTTTCGTCTCGGGTTTTTCCTTTTTCTTGTAAAAAGTTCGTGATAAACTTTTTTCGAGGACTTTACTTGCTAAATTCGAAATAATCTCGCAACAACTTTCAAAACCGAGCAACTTGTGGGACAAAATAAAGAAAAAATTTTCCCCGTGATGTCATCTGTATGTCTGCACTCTAATATTTCATAGACAATGACCAATCACAGGGCTCGTGGTATTCAGGCTTTGTAAAACTAGTACGCTATTTGATATCTTGTAAAAAAGCAAAAAACGGTCTTTGCATCAAAATAATTCCAAAAATTATGGTTTAGTTTTGTTATTCAAGCTTATATTTTTGCCGTTTCCTATTCACTATTGCTACGGATGGAAAGGATTGACACAGATTAAAAGTTTTTAAAAAGTGAGCCAATTTTTTTTTTTTTTTTTTTGCTATGCCTCCAAAAACCAACAAAAAATGCTGGATTATTATACATTTCTGGGAATCTGCCCACCTACCCCTCCCCTAAGCCAACATTTTGCCCTAAGTGAGAAGTAAGTGTTAATGTTGGCTTAGGGGAGGGGTTGGTGGGCAGATAGCTTGTACTCGCTGAGGAAATTTGATTGATATCTTATTCATATCTCGATAAAAGCATTTTTTGTGTAGTTAAAGGCACGAAGTAATGACTTCAGCACAGAATTGACCTTAAAAAGCGATATCCTCGTGACACGGCCCCTTTAAAACTGGACTTACTTTTATCGGAGGATCAAGGCATTGGAAGTGATAACAAAGCTTGCACTGGTCGCATCTGCATAAAAGTAGTAAAGAATAAGTAAGTGAGTAAATAAATAAATAAACAATGTCATCAGGCCTGGCACTGATCAGGCTACTTAAAGGTCAAATGAAATAAAAAATTGAAACATTTTCTTTTGTCGCTTTACCTTCACCAAACACTAAAAAGAAACTTCCTAAGTGAGATTTGGGCGAGGATTTTTCATCCCAAGCCTTTATAGAAAGATTAAAGTTCAAAATCCGAGCATTTCCGAAGACTTCACGAAAACGTTTCTGAAATGGCCGCGTGATAGACTGGAGACTACGTGACGTCAATGTTGGTCTTTCAGGGCGGAAAAAAAGTTCTGCACAAGCTTCTGCGCATCCCTTATCACCTGCGTTTGTTTGTCTCGTTCTGTGAGAGTTCTGACTGAGACTGAATGAAATACACGAGGTGCGAACGTTTGCTCCTTGTAAAGGCCTTTTTTTGTTTTTGATATTGTTGTTGTTTATTCGTCACTTGAAAATTACCAAGAGAAATCGGACAAAATGGTTATGCCAAATTCTGGGGGGTAAACAAGGTGCATTATTGTCTCGGTGACAATGGTGAACTTCCCAGCATACCTCACAAGATTAGAATTGGTGCCGCTCTGTTTGCAAACACAACACTCAGTGCGAGAGTCTTCAGGATTTTTCTTCTTCTCAGGTGGTTCTATGCTTCTTCGCCCAGGGCGCCTTCCTCTTTTCGCTGCAGGCGCAGAGCTTTCTTCCAATTTTGGCTTCTGTGAAGAATAAATCACAGATCTTGGGTTGGATGTGATTAACGGCCACAAATACACGCATACTTTTTCACAGAAACCTGTTTAAGATGACCACGTAGTTGTATCAAACATTGTATTTCTAGTGTATAGGGGTAGATATGGCTGAGTGCGCGAGCGGGCAAGTTGAAGCGAAGCCTGTTGTCTAATTGGCTATCCCAGCCATGGATGCCACAGCCAGAGGTTTCTGAAATTCCCTGACTTTTCTCTCACAACTCCAAATTTCCCCGACCAAATGAATTAACAAATTCAGAAATTAGTCTTTGATGGACTCAACCGCCCCCCCCCCCTACCCCTCACATCAGTCCTCGCTGCGATTGATTTTTGCTTTCAGCAAGTCACGTGGAGTGTCCATGAATTGATAAAAAAAAATGTGTACTCTTAAAATTTCAAAGACTTTTCAAAGACTTAAATTTTCCCTTACTCAAAGTGAAATTCTCTGACTCTTGCCTGGCCTTGACGAATAATTTTCCTTAACCATTTCCTGACCGATAGTAACCATGCGAGAGGAAAAGATGAGCCCCTCCTGCACGCTCGGTGTTGGTCCCGCAATAATAAGTTCTCTTTTTGGCCATGTAATTAATCCTTTGAATATTGATCAAGCTTGTTCCATGAAGATGGCTGGGTATTCATCGTTCTTTTTTGCGTTTTTATTGGCCAATATCTAGCCATGTTAACCACGCCCATGGACAATAACGCATTTTTCTTACCGGTTTCACGAAAAAAAATTTGCACGGGTCCGCAATGCCCCAACTCCTTAGAACAATAAAAGCTGTAGGATATGGGGAATAGTGACAATAGAGGTCCTGAGGAGGGACAGGCTACATGAACCAGAGAGCCCTCACTTACTTTACTGTCCGATGTAGTGGTTTCACCTTCTCCTTCTCCACCTTCTGTTGCGGGCGTTTTGCGCTTGAATGACTTTTTCAGCTTGCGCTTTTTTGACTGAAAGGAAACGCAAAAAGGATTAAAAGTTCCGAAGGTATACTGCTATGAAACTCGCCAAGAGCAGAAACGGAATGTCGCGGAAGAGAGAACATTAGTACGTGTCCTCCTTACATGATATATTAGGGACCTTACGAACCGATAACGGAGACGTCCGTGAAGACGGCCCTGAAAAATAGACCACACATCCTTTCTACCATTTTCGCGACTATCCCAAGTCACCCGAGTTACTCAAAAGAAGGAAATTTAGGTTGGAACTGAAGAAAGGGGACCGGGCCCGAGACCAGACAGAGATGGTAGAATTTATCGCCTTGCACAACTTAATAATCAATTCCACAGGAAAGAACTGCCGAGTAGCTTCCACTCAAATGGTCACGTGGCTCCACCTACAAGCTCCAAAGTCAGAATTGCATTTAATGTCTCCATCGGTTAACTCCGATTATGTCAGGCTTGAGTCAGTAGAAAGATAACAGTAGTTTGCAACATGTATTCCTGATGCAACCTGACTTACCTCTCCCTTGTCAGGAGTGAATTTAGTAGGTTCTTTGATCACCCGTCTTTGGCGGCCTTGAGAAATGGGTGTGGTGTCCTCAGTATCGACTTCCATTTCGTCATCATCATCGCTGGGGTCACACTCTGAACACTGCGTGTTTTGCAAACTTCTAAAGAATGTTGGGTTTTTCTGTTCCGTCAATCATCTTAGCGGACCTCTTAGGAAACAAATGTTTACTTGTGATTGGTGCATTTCGGTCCACTTTGTTTGTTTCTGTCTTTCAAGGTTCGTTGCTTGTGATCGCCCTGTTTCGGGCAATAGTCGACCAGTTTTCTTCAAACATTTTTCTGATCTTTCTTATTCTTGTCTCTTGAAAGAATAAAGTAATGTCTGCCTCCTGACTTCTACAAAAATACCACTCATCATCCGATTTCCTTCGCTATTCTTGAGCAGTCTAGAGTCATTCTCAGTTTTGTTTTTGCGGGCCAAGTTGGGCGAGAGCGTTGCATTGTGATTAACATTAACTCCGATACAACGAATTTGGCCATAAGATACAGTTTCCGAGTACGTACACGGGTAAATAAAGAGCTTAAGCAACAACGACGGCGAAGACTACGAAAACGTTACTTAAAAAGAGAAGTCGTGCTACTGCAACCTTTATAGCGCTTATTCCATCTTGTTCAGTTCGTTAAATGTTACCAGCTTTTTCTGAAGTTGAATTCTAAAAAACTGTATCGAAGTTCAAGAAAAAAAGGAAGTCGTTGTCTTGTGTTCACGTCCTCAACAAAACATGAAGTTAAGTTAAGTCGTGCACTGACGGGAAAGATATGTACAAAAAAGAGTGATGCACGTTGTTGTTTTGCAAATCTAAACCTAATGCTTTTCAGTCATCCTCGTTGTCGTTGCCGTCGCCGCCGTCGTTGCTTGGGCTAACTATTTAGTAACCTTAAGCAAAGACGTTTTTGAGCGACGCACGTCAACCGGAAGTGAGGCCTTCTCCCTTTTTATATGCCTTGACGCTAACAAACTTGTATTGCTGAGTTTCTTTTCTCTTTTAAAGACGATTTACCCGAGAGTTTCAACCAAACCACTCCCCAATGATGCAAAAAGTCCACTTCCGGTTGACGTCCGTCGCTCAAAAACGCTGTTGCTTGACTGCCCCCACCCCCTCCTTATCTCAGGGTCTGGATCCGGCACTGTAATGCGCTCACTACGGCCATTTTCTACGTTTGTTGGCGTTTTATTCAGCCTTATAAATAGCATGAGACACCAATTACGGACATGGTCAAAGGAGGATATTACCATCTTCCCGTCATGCATTATGGTCAAGCTATAATAGAGCAGTTAAATAAACAGATATTTAAGAGCGAATCCATGCAAAAATCGACCAAAATCGCCGATTCGTGGCAAGGCTCAAAAAATCAAAATCGCTCTTCTTTTGCAGACTGGTACACTTTAGTAAGTCTACAAACGCCATGTAGTTTTTTCTTCGAAAGATCTATTTGTTTCCGAGAAAAACGAAGAAAACCGTTTCAAGCCCCACAAGCGATTTCGCAAGCCAAAAACAGGGTTGAAATCATCATGATTCGCTGGACTCGCGTTCCAATACAATCGCGCTAGGAAAAAAAGTTATTGCTAAAATTTTAAGTTTAACTCGTCGTTGATCGAACTATATAATATTTTTAGCATTACATCAGTATGAGTAATTATAAAAAAGCTAAAGCGTACGGCTACCTGATATTTAGCGACGAAAGGTCGTTGAAAACAGCGACGATTTTCATCATGTGCCTTTGATCAGAATTTTTTCAGATTGAAGGGAAATACACTACAGCCATCAAACGTTTATGCTATGTAAAAATTATTTTGGGGAAATCATTTTGAGCTTGTCAGAAATTATTTGAAAATCGTTTTACAGACAACATAAAGTAACGCCATCTTTAACATATGCGTGACCATTGTCAGTCGACCAGGCAAAGGTCATAACGTCTCTCCTAAAAAGTCCTGGTAATATTCACGCACAAAGTTCTAAATATTAAAGTACTTACCCTATTCTTTGTTTCAGGTCTAGTTTCACCGCAAAATGTTTCCAGTTGCCATCTGTTCAAGTTTGCCATTCTATATTAAACTCTGTTTGAGACTCGCAACTAACACGCATGCTTTCTAACGAAGATCGCTTAGTAAACACGTAGTAAACCCTCTCTTCCTTATCTGTCAAAAACGTTTGTCTCAAAATGCTGCTGGACACCGCAGAAGGAAGCGCCAATCTGAAGGATATTTTAAAGCGCCCATGCGAACGTTTGTGACTCAGTATGCAAATTACTTTTAACAGTAATATCAGATTACAGCTGTCAAGATCCCGGGGTCCGGGGTCTGGATCCGCTAAAAGCAGGCGAAAAGCAAACGTAAAACATGCGTTTTGAAAATGAAGAATTTAATTGGTAGCCTCGCTGAAGATTTTCATTGCTTCGAGACGTGGGCATTATCAAAACAATTGATGTCTTAACAAAAAATTGTGTACATGTTTTCTTCCCATCACCACTGGTGGAACCAAGTTGTTGGCTGTGGGTAATCCTGGCCTGCACGTGCGTTATTTCAGAGTGCCTTAAAGGACAAATGTAATTTCTGCTTTGCTAAATGTCACTTTTCGTGAATTGAAAGAAACATTATTGGGCGGGTGGGGGGGACGGACGGGCGAAGTTCAAAAGAAATATTCGCGCAAGGGAAAATTAAATGAAAAAAAATTTCATGCACGCCAATTAACCCTAAAAAATATTCATGCTACGGCCTAAAACTGAAATTCAAGAAGGAATTTGATAACGAAAAAAAATTTTAAAAAAATAACTTTTCTAATGGTCCGTTCGTAATAGATAAGATTTCTATTCGTGATCCCCAGTGTCCAGCGTTCTTGTAACATTCTGCAAGCGCATCTGCTTCTGAGCTTGAAGTCAATGGCTTCGTCATTCGCCATATCCCCACACGTTGTCTTGAAGGAGGTACAAGTCAGTCGTTTGAAGTAAATGTAAGAAAATAAAATAGAATAAAAAGACAACAACAAATGCCATCAGAACTGGACTACGATCTTTAAATTTTAAAAAAATATATTTTCTCTGGGGGAAATCGGGTTTAATTTCAAACTAAGAAAAAAACTGAAAGGTTTATTTTGTCGGACAGATTAGGTGGATTGGTACCGAGGAGACTCTGGGTTATCTAAGAGAGTTGACAACTATGATAAACTTTATACAGTATTCGTGGATTGAATTTAAGCGACTTATAAGAATATAATACAGTGAATAAACCAAGAGTACCTGAGCCTACAGGAATGAGGATACCGGTTTGCTGATAGATATATTTTGAAATGTTCTTCCTCTAACTCTTTTGTCGGCTTTAACAGGTTTCCCTCTTCTTTCAATTATGTGATTGGCGCTTTCCTTTGGAACTTGGCACGAATTGGAATAACTGTTCCGTCACCATCCAATACCGAGCTCAGAAAGATGGAAAGGGCATATATTAAAGGAACTTAGGGCACTTTCCATTTGTCAGAACTGGCCGGCTGGATCTTTGCCTGACCAGTCATTTTGAAAATGAAATAGGATTTTCCAAGAGTTTTGCCGAAAAATGTTCTCTTTCGAGCATGCTATTTCGGATTTGACTGATCTAGGTGAAGAGTTTGATTAAACGGGAAATTATCATTGCGACGGGAATGGTCTGGCTGGTCAGTTCTGAGCTAAAATAAAGTCTGTTTCGCTTTCAATGGCTAGAAAGAGACCATGTCGATCTATGCCCAGTTACGTCCTTAATAGTTTGATAGCGACAATTTAACAATCTCAGTTGATCTCTGCTTATCCCTTCTATCAAACGAACACAGAGTACCTAATGATGACTCGAAGGAGCACGAACCTTCCATAGCTTCATCGAAGAAGAGCGCACACAATCAGTGTTTATGCTGAGATCTTTTTCTTTTTCAAGAGGCAATGAACGGTTGAATCAAATTAAACTTAATTTAATTCGATAATGTTAATCAAATGCCTAAAATGTCAAAATACTAAAGATAATTCTCAGGTAAAATAATGTCAACTGGAGTATTTTTGAAGAAGGAGGAATGTAAAAGATGAAGCTTCTTCAGTGTACTGAGAAAAACGGGTGAAAGTCGGTGAAGCTCGTCACGTGTATATTACCGGAAGTAGACCCTTGGCACACTCCTATGCAAATGAGATTAGTTGAAGTGAACGGATCCACGAGCAAGCAACTTTGCTTTGTTGACAGTTAAACTACCGAGCTTTATTTTATAGACGGCTTTTTTAAGGTCCAGGGTTCTCAAAATTTTTAACAAACATGAGATGTTAACTTGAAAACATTCAGGGAGAAAACAGAGGGTGAAGAAATTACCAGAAAGCTGTCACGCACCTCCAACGCACACATTCCAGCGGACTTCATGACTACGGTAACATAGGTGATAAGACGGCAAAATGAAACAACTTGGAGCTTAAAGTACAACAGATACAGGTTAAGGTGAGCTTTTTAAAAAAATTGTTCTACATATCAAGGCTACCAGCGTTGTAAACGGAAACCTAAAGTCAAATTGTTGGTGGTGGTCGTGTGACTCATGTGTTGGATGCCGTTATTTTATGTTGTCTGTAACACGAATTTGAAATAATTTCTGAGAAGCTCAAAATGATTTCCCCAAAATAATTTTAACATAACACAATAGTTTGATGCTTGTAGAGTTTTCCCTTTCAATCTTGAAAAATTCTGATCAAAGGCGCTTTTTGAACAACAGGTAGACATACGCTTTAGCTTGTTTATAATTACTCAGAGTGTTGTAATGCTAAAAATATTATATATTTTGGTCAACGACGAGTTGTACTTACAAGTTTAGCAACAAGCTTTTTTTCTAGCGCGGTGGTTTTGAAATGCAAGTCGAGCGAATCATAGTGAATTTCAAACCTGTTTTCGGCTTGCGAAATCGACGGCGGGGCTTGAAACGGTTTTCTTGTTTTTCTCGGAAACGAACAGATCTTTCGAAGAAAAAACTACTTGGCGTTTGTACACTTACTAAAGTCTATCAGTATGCAAAAGAAGAGCGATTTTTATTTTTTGAGCCTTGCCGCACTTCGGTCGATATTTGCATGGAGTTGCTCTTAAAGTAGTTTTAAACGGTT